TCCCTATTTAAAAGGATATGTGGGGCTAGTCTTACTACATATGACCAAATAAAAGTGACAGTCTGTTTCTTAAATTACATTCTAAACCAGACAAAAAACACGTCTGGAAGAAGAGGGGTTTTTACCTGTTGACTGTAAGGACGCATGCGGTTCGAGGATTATGTGACGTTCCCAAGTGTTTGTTGTCACTTTTGTAGAGCCAGCAGGGGGAGCTCAAAGTTCATGCTTTACGTACTTTAAAAACGTTTAGAGATATTTTATTTAGAAATACCTTCCTAAAAAAATGTGATTTTTGGATTATAGCATAGTTCAAGAAGGTTAGACCTTGAGCCAAAAGTTTGTTCTTCTACTTACAGTGATTTTTTTTACAGCTAAAACTATTTTAAAGTTGTAAAATAGCTTAAATTGCGCTTTCATTTAAACAAAAAAGTAAAAAGGAATATCTTAAGTGTCTTAAATTTAAAAAAAAAAAAAAAAAAAGGAAAATGAGACAGAAGTGTTAATCAAAGCGGTACCCCTTACTGAGCAAAACAGAAGGATGTTACATTCCTGGCAGTGGCAGCTCGTTACTAGAAATGCAGGATAGCTTGCAATTAAAGACTAACAGTTGGTGCTATTGTGTTGTGTTGCTGTGAGCTTCCTCTTCTGTATCTCATATATGAAAAGTATCAACTGATACGTTAAATCAAGAACTTTATGTTGAAATTAGTTTGGTGTAACAGTATGTTCTCTTTTATTTGCTTGTCTGTAGGGCTCAGCACCACCGCCTTCTCCAACACCTAACAGAGAAATGAAGAACAAGGCAGTTCTTTGCAAGCCTTTGACAATGACGAAAGCCACATATTGTAAACCTCATATGCAGACAAAATCTTGTCAGACAGGTAACTCTTGAACTGTACTGGCACTACTCATTTCTTCATTGCAAATTTTTTTGACTGTTACTATCTTGGAACATACTACAAATACTCTGATTTTTTTCCTTGAACTGCAGGTGTAAAATATATTTAAGTACCTGGCAGTGTTTGCCTTTTTTTTTTTCTTTTAATAGAAGATGATTGGAAAAAAGAGTATGTCCCAGTGCCTGTTCCTGTACCTGTCTATGTTCCGGTGCCTATGAACATGTATAGTCAAAACGTTCCCGTTCCTACAATGGTTCCTGTTCCTGTAAGTGAGACTTCAGCCTCATTTTTAAATTGGCATTCATTCACATGCACGTGTGGGACCACTTTGTGTTGTTGACTGTTCTCGTTCTGGCCCATCTGAAGGACTGCAGGATGCTGCAGCACTATTTATTGGAAAGGTTTTAGAAATCTGACAGTGGCAGTTAATTTTTCTGATTGTTCTTTATGTCCTACCTGCCTGCTGTCAGTGTGAAAATCTTGTGCTGCTGAACTTCTTAGGAACAATTCTGAGTGATACTTTTGAGTTTGCTGAATACGTAATGGCTAATGGGAAACTGAAAGATTGTGTTGGAGAGGGATGGCAGAGTGGGGTAAACAGAAGGAAGAAAAGCAGAAAAGGAAACTTGTGCTAGCAAAGCTTGCGTACCAAATCTCATCCAAATTATGGAAAAACCCCCCCTTGAATCCCTAAAATTCCATGTTTCAGAAGCAAGCTGCTAAAAGAGGATGCAGATTTATCCAAACTGTTAGTCTGAAGTTATAGTCAGACAGGTTTGAAGCTTCAAAGTCCCTTCTGTTCTTACTTTGACACACTGTATTTTGTCATACTTAATTTTTTCCTGTATCCTTTCCTGCTTTTCTTTCTGTTCTCAATCATTTATATTGAATTTTTTAACCTGGCAAGATTTTTTCTTAGCCCACACTGAAGGGATGTTTCTAATCTGTATTAACTCTCTTAGATGAGAGACGTAGAGTTTGTTTCTGTGTTGACTGCTGTTGATGCTTTGTTGCAGCGTATTTTTTTTCATTTCTAATTATCTCTTCTTCCCTGTCTGCATAGGTGCCAGTTCCAGTTTTCTTGCCCACTACTCTGGATAGCAGTGAGAAAATCCTTGCAGCAATAGAAGAGCTGAGGGAAAAAGAACCCTCAAATCCTCTGGAAACTGAGCTACTGAACTTGTCAGGGACAGTACCTGAACATGATGGAAAAGCTGAAGCTTCTGATGTGGCCAGTGAGTTTCCTGACAAATTTCTGGGGTGCTGGGGGTGTAGGTGTGGGTATGTGTGAATCAAGAGAAGGATTTGGGCATTTTTAATTTTAGGGAAA